GCGGAGGGTGCGGGCGACCGCAGGCCGGACTCGCTCAGCTAGCTGACGGCTGCCCGACGCCATGGCGCGGCTGCCCCCGACGGGCCACTTTCGATTCCGGGTAGGGAGGGATGGGCGCGCGGGGCCGGGGGTTCGGGGCTGGGAAGAGGGGGGGTGTCAGGGGGAGCAGGCTGAGGTGCGGGTCTAGGGAGCTGAGGGAGGCCGCCTGGAGGCACCCGGACCCCTGCCGGGGAGCGAGAGGAGGGAGCCGCGCGACGACCCCCCCCCCCGCGCCACCACCGCGGGGTGTCCTCCCCCCACCTGCGATGTGGGCTAATTAAATATTTTATTGTTGTTCTTTAGGCACCGCATCAGCCTGCTCAACCCTTCAAATTTACAATTTCCGAATCCTGTGATCGGATTAAGGAAGAGTTTCAGTTTTTACAGGCTCAATATCACAGGTAACGATATTGACTTTAGCTGATCCTCCTGTTTGCTTAGCTCTTGTCTACCCCCCCAACACACAAACACCACCCCCGGCGTCGTCCCCCCCCCCCCCCCCCAAAGGTATCACCATTTTTTTTCCCCCTGTGGGCAGAAAAGGCAAGTCAGGGCCTCTTTCCCCTTCAAGCAGGTGTAAAGAAATTAAGCATTTTCTTCTCCTGTAAACAGAAAAGGAAGCAGAACAATCGAAACAGAGGAGACTTGGAAAACGCTGAGGCCAAACTTTCGATATTGATTTATTGGGTCAGGAGAATGGCAGGTTGGGAAGATTCTGGGGCCTTTTGACTTCTTGGTTCCTTTTTACTCTATGCTTGATCCCTTCTGCCATTCCATGGCATAGCTGGAGAGCCAGGGGAAGTAAACAGTGAGCCATTTCATTACTTTTATTAAAAAAAAAAAACAAAAAAAAAACCCAAACAATACTTTAGTCTGCGAGGCTCTCAGTCTTGGAGTGCTTTAGGAACATGTTTGTTTCATTGGATCCGTAATGGTGCAGAATTCTTACTGCATAAATGCACGAACCCAAACAAGCTGCTGGACCAGATCAACATCCCCCTCCCCCCCATGGTATTCAACTAATCTGTATTTTTTTGGGGGGGGAGGGAAAAAAAACCGACATCATTCATGAGATTGTTTTGATTCCGATTTTCATTAATCTCTTAGAATAGTAAAAGGTAAAACCTCCCCTGTGGCATTTTTGTGGACTTAGTTTTTGCTTTTGTATGTAATTATCGATGTTTATTTTCTTGTTTTAGTAAGTGAATTTAGTGAATATTTTCAACTCTGGATGAAGTTGCAGAATTAAATTGGCAAGAGTGTTTATTTCTTTCAGACATAAAGCCCTCTTTCCCAACCCCCACAGTTTATCCTTATTGAAAAGGCAAGACCAGGCTGGTTCTTGTCGCTCATTTCTCTCTCTTCCCTTTCATTACCAAAGTGCTGTTTAATATCATTGGTCTGACAATAGGAGGTGATGAATTAGAGGAAGGGATGTGAGTTTGGAGTTGAAGGATTAAGTTCTACGCTGTACTTAGATGATTTTATGTCTTGCATAGTCTGAAGCTGGAATGTGAGAAACTCGCCAGTGAGAAGACAGAGATGCAGCGGCATTATGTCATGGTAAGAAAACTGTGTCACAGATTCAAAGTGCTCATTAGCTGGGGATACTGAAAGCAAGAATACATTTTAAATTGCTGTAGGCTGCAGGATACATCACAGTGGCCCTACCAGTGTTGAGGTTGTGGGTATGTGTCCATTAGCAACCTGTAATTCTAGGTTGTTATAACTTGGCTTTGACAACCAGCTTTGATTTAAATTTTCAAAAAGTTCAGTTGCATGGGGTATAATTTTCTTTGCTTTGTTTTTACAGATTGAAAAAAAAGGGAGAAAAAACCCCTCATTTATTTTTTGTTTAGTCACAAGCAAAATGTTTTTGTTAGTGGTTTTCTTTGTTGTTTTATTGCTCTTGCTCCAATTGTAACCAGACAGTTTTTCTATATGCTCTTAAAGTTAAATGTGTTTTATGCCTTTTAATTATTGATTTGGATAGGAAAAGACACCAGATCCCTTTTCAGAAATTTTCCCATTCATCATTGCTACTTTGTTTATATTTTTGTGTGTACGCTTTCAATTTCAATAGTGTTATTTTGGTTCTTAGGAGTGTTGATTTGAGCTGCCAGATTTTCTGTACTGTAGTTATACTTTCATTCAGACAAATCAAATCTATGTTTACAGAAGTATTATGAAGCATTTTTATGATTCAAAAGTATATTTTGTGTTGAAAGAACTTAGAGAGTAACTCATTAATTAATTTTCTATCCAGCTCTGCTGTTTTGCATGTGTGAGTAGTCCACTAAAACCAAAAACTGAACTCTGAGATAGCATCACCTTTCCCTACAGTTCTTCAAAACATCAATCAGCATTTGTGTGAGATATTTCTGCTCTGCTTAGGAATTAAGAGTCATGTGAAATCAAATTTTTATCAGACTTCTTCAACTCATTTGCTTGTGATGTTGAAACAATTGGAGAGATTAATAATGCTGAGTTTTAACATTTTCTTAGTTTTCTGAGTTTTTTTCTCTTGGGATGTGTATTAATGTGACTTCTAGTTTCTTAAAGATAGTGATTGGGCATCCTTTTTTACTTATTGACCCAGATTTTGTTGATGTTTTGGTTAAGGTAAGGGCTTTGTATTGGTTGCTTTGTTTTCCGTGTACTTGGTCATTTTGAACATACTAGAGAGATTATTGGAAAGGTACAAATTTAATTGCTTTTCTTTCTTTGACAGTATTATGAAATGTCCTATGGGTTGAACATAGAAATGCACAAGCAGGTAAGTTAATTCTTTATAATCATTTTAAGTGACAGTAAGACTTACGCACTTAGAAGATTTGTCTAATTGTGATTTTTTTCTTTTGTACATTTGTCATTTCTTTATTTGAAAAGACTGGGAATGAGTGAGAAGGTTAGTTTTTTGCATGTGGTTCCTCATATTCCATATTGTCCTGACTTTTAATAATTTAAAGTATTATTTTTAAATCAGAATGTATATTAAACTTTTCTTCATTTTCAAAAGCCATATGCAAAATTTGAAATACATATTTTCTTTTTTTAAACAATTGCCGTGTATATTTCAGGCATCAAAATTTTATCTTACTTAAAGAACTGTCCATGGGAAATATTAATAAACAAAATTGTAAATTGTGTGAAGTCTTCATTGGATCACTATGAGAGAATAGAGAATGAGTGAACTGGGAGGATCAGAATGAAACCTGCAGAGCTATAAAAGAAATTGATGTAAAATCCTTGTACAGATCCCCAGAGGCTACTTAGTTGGGTCTTACCAGGAACTCTAGCTTTAACTTCCAAAATTTGTACAGAGTAAATGAACCTGATAGGAGGATGTGATTAGTCTTTAACCCTGGGTCTTAAAATCTAGTAATTAGTTTGGGGTTGCAGGGGAGCAAGCACTCATGGGTATATGGGTGTATGTAACTATTACAGCTACTATAGGGCTTGGTTTTGAATTTTTTTTTTTTTAAACAAGAGCCCAATTGAAATGATTTGACTTAAGTTCGCTAAATGGCAAAGATAGTATGTGTATGATAGTGTTTGGCAATGATAATTCCTCCAGGAAGCATTTCTTTGAAGTCATCTCCTCATGAAGGACTTCAGGACTCTCGCCAACCATTTCAGAATAGATACGTGTATATTTGCCTGCCGAGAAAGAGGCGATAGACAACT